TCTGCTCAAACATCATTTCTCAGAGAGATCCATCACATACCACGTTTTATCTCATCCATTTACCTTGCTTTATTTTTCATCACAGCACCCACTAATGTATGCAGTATATCTCATATTCACCTATCGATTTATTGTTCCTACTCCCTGGAATAATGTTTTACATGCAGGCAGTAATTGTTGAGTGAATACATGAGTAAGAGCCAGAGAACAGTCTATTAAGTACTTGATTTGTGGATTAAAGTTCTTTCCAACCCACTGTTGCAGTGGTATTTAAAGAAGACTACTGTCTGTAATACATCTTGCAGTTTTTTGCCTCTGTGCTTCTGCTCATATCATTATTTACCCTTTCCATTCTTTTGTCTCCAACTCCAGATACTTTTCGTCAGAGTTCTGCCTTTGAAACCTTCACTGAACACACCCACTGTCTCTCTCTGAACCCCCCGGGGCCCACGGCGCTCTGTCATTATCCCTTCCTTGTCTCCTGTATCATCTGTCTCTGTGTATCTTAATTCCCCAACCACATGAGTGGAGATTACATTTATGTATTCTTTTTTTTTTTTACTTTACACTTTCATATACAATTAAAATGGAATTAACTTTGATATTTTTGCTACAAGAAAAACATTTATTAACAATTTTGAATCCCAAAGACTGTACGATGAGGAAATGATCACTACCATCAATGTTCAGACATGCCAACACACACACCGCATTCTTACTAAAAAATGTGATTATACCATACATGTTATCTAGTAACCTGCATTTTTAAAAATACCTTAAGATCGTATTAGGGATAATGTTCCATTTGATAGCTATAAGCCTTCATTGTCATTTTTTTTTAAGATTTATTTATTTATTTGAGAGAGAGAGAGCATTGAATGAGTGTGGGGGGTGGGCCAGAGGGAGAGAATCTTTCAAGCAGACTCCCTGCTGAGTGCGGAGCCCAACGCAGGGCTCAGTCCCTTGACCCATGAGATCATGAGCTGAGCTGAAACCAAGAGGCAGACGCTCAACCAACTGAGCCTCCCACGTGTCCCTTCACTGTCACTTTTAATTGCTGCCGTGTTTAGTTGTATTTAACCAATCTCTTACTGACTTTGAAATTGTTTGCAATTTTTCACTATCATACATGTGTGATGTACGCTTTTAAATGCAGTGAGAAATTTGAAGAGAGAGTAGTTTTCAAATCTTCATGATGGAGGGCTGGAATGAGTTTACTAGAGAAATGCTCTTCACATTTTTTTTTTTTTTAAACTAATGTGCCCCTTAAAGGAATTTTGAAAAACTTAAGTGCATTTGCACTTTTAAAAGTTGATATGTATAGTTTTTATTAAATTTAAATACACTTAAAGCCCATAATTTTTGGCAAATTATATATACCTGTCAAAATTGAACTGTGACATTACTTTTTAAAGTGTATCTGATAGAATAAAAATATAGTGATTTGATATCTACCTTAATCTATTTTTTAGAAAATCATGAACTAGCTTCTCTTTAATGATCTGAAATGCTATATAGTCCCTTTTTCTTCTTGAACTATTAATTCTATTCTACTTTCCTTACAGAGTCTATGCTAATGCAATATAGTTTTATATTTGAAAGTCTTTTATTAATCAACCATTGCAGTCAAATTTGTGTGCATAAATGTATTTAAAATTTCCTGGGACCATAAGGTAATTTGTTAAATGTTAAATAAAAAAACTGTTTTTTCCATATATGTATGGATGCGTGTTACTTGTTGGTAGAACGAAATAGGAGCAGCATCAATTTTTTTCTTATTTTCCATTTTTATAGATGTAAGTGCTGAGAAACATTTTCATGTAAATCAAGTGAACGTGACTGGGAGGAGCTTTGTCATAGCAATATGTCTCAATTCTTTGAATTCCTTCTGAGTTATTTGATAATATTAATCTATCACTGAAAAAACATTTTCAATGATCTGTTGGTGGCTATACAATTATGTTTTCTGTTTTACTGAAAGTAAAGACTGCAGTGCTAGAGAGATGTCTTAGGGCACCAGCAACAGGCATTGGTAGGAGCGCATCTGATCTTGATGATTATGGACATTCCATCTACCACATCGTGTGCTTTGCTCCAACCCTGCCTGGCTCCGCATGTGTAGCCCAGAGAAGGGGAGAGTTGGATTCAGTTAAGGCTGAACCTCTACCAGATGTATGTTGACTAAGAACTAAAAAATACAAAATAACAGGTGGTAGAATCTAAGCTGGACAAGGACAATGTGGAAGAAGACCACTGATGGACTGATGGACTGGGGAAGAGTAGAGAGGAGAAGGTAAAGGGAGGGCTTTTCCAGGTGGAAGATTGGTTGGAGTAGTTGAAATGGCAAACTGGAAAGAGAGGTCACTGTGGCCTGATATGTGATTCAGGATTTTTGGAGGTGGAGCAGTTGTGGGTCATGAGCATGTCCAAGGTGTGACCATAATATGAAGTTCGTGAACTTTATTTGTTCATCTGTTTATGAACAAATCGCTGAAAAGGAGTTCGTGGAAATAGGTTGTCATGGTGTCAAAAGTCCATGATGATTTTCAAAGGAATGAAGGCAGGGCTTGGAGTGGAGAGAAAGAATGTGAGGCAGGCATCAACAAATCTAGACAGTGAGAGAAAGGTGCTCTTGAAAGCTGGAAGGGGCAGGTCTTAAAGGAACTTAGTTTACAAGAAGGTGCAGGAGAAATGGTTTGGGAAGAACTGTGGTGGGTATGGAAGGAACCAACTCATTGCCTGACTCTGATGTGTGAACACCTGCCATTTGAGAAGCCCAGGGAAAACCATGTCCTCAGGGGAGAGCTCCAATTATTAGAAGGAGAAACTTGTATTTATGACAGGCATTTTAGTTCTATTAGACAGTGTGGTTCTGAACCACAAGCTTACTTAATGGGTTAGTAAAACTTCATGGGGGGCCTGGGTGGCTCAGTCGGTTAAGCGAACGACTCTTGATTTTGGCTCAGGTCATGATCTCATGGTTGTGAGATCGAGACCTGCATCAGGGTCCAGGCTCAGCATGAGTGTGCTTGAGATTCTCTCCCTCTCTCTCTGTCTCTCTCACACCTGCTCGCACTCTCTCTCTAAAAAAAAACAACAAAGAAACAACCAAAAAAACTTCCTCAGTTTCTACTAGAGTTACTAGTTCTTTCAGTTTCCCTGTCTCTCCAGAATAAGTTTTGATCATTTATATTTTCCTCAAAAACCATTTATTTCAAATATATATTCAAATGTGTGAATGTAGTGCTTTACAAATATTTTTATGTAGGTATGCATGTATGTGATTTATGTGTTTAATGGTAAATCAGCTCTGAGTTATAGAGATAAATTGTTTTTGTGTTTTTTAAATTAATTATGGATCTGCTTTGATACTTATTGATTCAAATCTGTTTTTAGGATCATCAAATTATATTTTCTCATTTGTAGGAATTACATTTTCATTTTCTCTTCTGAGATAAAAAAAATCCCATTTTTTAAAAAAAGCTTATCATTAATGAATAGAGATTTCAATCAACATTTATTTTACTTTATTTTCAGTTCCACAAACTATTTTTCAGGCAGCATAGTGCCTTGCTTCTAATTAATTAGATACATTTTATTTAGCAGTCTTTTTTCAGTATTTCATGTTCCATAAAACATTTATTCTCCTAATATTACATTTATAAATGAAATGCACGATATTTCCTGCATATATATTCCATTGTCCCTTTGTTTTTTCTTGCTTTGCAATCCATTTTTATTTTATTTATTTATTTTTATTTTTATTTTTTTAAAGAATTTATTTATTTATTTGAGACAGAGAGAATGAGAGACAGAGAGCATGAGAGGGAGGAGTGTCAGAGGGAGAAGCAGACTCCCTGCCGAGCAGGGATCCCGATGCGGGACTCGATCCCGGGACTCCAGGATCATGACCTGAGCCGAAGGCAGTCACTTAACCAACTGAGCCACCCAGGCGCCCTGCAATCCATTTTTATAGAGAAGGCAATAACACTATATTTAAAGAGGAATCAGCAATAGATACATTGTGTCTAGTATTTAATATATTCTAGGGATGTGCTAACTTCTTCACCACAGTTATCATATTTAGTCTTTACAACAGCCCTGTGAAGTATGTACTGATTTTATCTCCAGGGTGCACTGGGGAGACCAGACCAAGAGAGAGTAAGAGGTCCATCCAAGGTTTCCCGAGTGTTGTGCATGGGCTCATCAGCCTGCATGAGAGATCGCTCTGTTAGCATCTCATCCCCAGTACTAGAAAAATATAGCAGACCTCTTTATGGCAGATGTCCAGCACCAGAGCATCAACATAATTCATGCTAAGATTCGATTGTCAGGCAATTATGATGTGCAATTATATTCAGTGTTAATAACTTGCCTCATGAGATCCTACTACCGTACTTCGGACGTGAGTTTCCTTTAACAGCCGAACAAAAATCTTTTATTCATCTGCAGTGAGGTACACTTTCTATAAATAATTGTTTCCTTTAATCATTTTGGGGTAAGGGGAGAAATAGGTATCAATTAGTCATTTTTAATACCCTGTATCTTCAAATTAGAATTTTTGAAGTCTTACTTGTATCTGTAGAAAGGCAGAAAAAGAAATTTCATGCAGTTTGCTTCCTTGGACAAGCAAAGGCAAACCCCTATCTTTTTGTCTCTGAACTCTATCCCATTTGGTTATCGAACACCTTTTATTTTATTTTATTTTATTTTATTTTATTTTTTATTTTTTTTTATTTTTTAAAGATTTTATTTATTCATTCATTAGAGACAGAGAGAGAGAGAGGCAGAGGGAGAAGCAGGCTCCCAAGGAGCAGGGAGCCCGATGCGGGACTCGATCCCAGGACCCTGGGATCATGACCTGAGCCGAAGGCAGACGCTTAACCATCTGAGCCACCCAGGCGCCCTATCGAACACCTTTTAAAAAGATTTAGCTATTTAACAACAACAAATGCCTATGGCTCATTAATTTGTGATTCTTCTCTTTCTTTCTTTTAAAGATAGTGTTTTTAGAAGAAGCATCCCAACAAGAAAAGCTGGCCAAAGCATGGTACTTCAAGCCGTGTGAAATAAGAGAACTAAGCAACCAGTAAGTCACAGCCAACTTCTTCTCTTTCTCTGTTAACTAGTGCCCTTCACTAGTCTCAGACAATTAGAAACCTGCCTTGAGGGACGGAGAGGCTTTGTGTTTTTCCTTGCGGGCTGAGGTGAAAAGGAGAAGGGAATTCGAGAACAGGAAGCTGAAGGATGGAAGCTTTGAGAACAGGAGGCTGCCCTCATCTGTTTATTTCTTCAGCAGATCTTTGTTGAGCTTACTGTGTGCAAAAACCAGGATCTGGAGGAGAAAATGATCTGTAAAGTCTTTGCCCTCGCAGGGTTTACAGCCCACGGGGATCTCAGAGAGTAAGCAGGTACACAGATATGGAAGCTCGCCAGTGATAGGTGGTGATACCTTCCGTGAAAGAAATAAAGAGGGAGAGAAAGAAAATGCCGGGGGTGGGGGGTGGGGATGGAGGTTTGGGGAGCAGTAACCGGCAGCATAGTTAGGGAAGACCTATCCCCCAAAGCACACTTGAGCTGTGGTTTTATGTTGTGGGTTTTTAAAAAAATATTTTATTTATTTGTGTGTGTGTGTGTGTGTGTGTGTGTGTGTGAGAGAGAGAGAGAGAGAGAGAGAGAGAGAATGAGCAGGGGGGAGGGGCAGAGGGAGAGAGAGAAAGAAGCAGACTCCCCACTGAGCAAGGTCCCGATGTGGGGCTCGATCCCAGGACCCAGAAATCATGACCTGAGCCGAAGGCAGATGCTTAACTGACTGAGCCACCTAGGCGCCCCATGTTTGGGGGGTTTTAATATTTGTTCAAAACGTGTTTGCTATGATTGGCTCACTCTCTTCATAGCCTGGTTGATTTGTTTTATATAGATGGGAATACTTTATTTTTTAAAAGATTTATTTATTTATTTTGGAGGCGGAGGGGCAGTGGGAGAGGGAGAGAGGAGCTCAAGCAGACTCCTTGCTCAGTGCAAGCCCTACGGATCTCACAAACCCTAGATCAGAGCTGAGCCGAAACCAAGAGTCCACCGCTTAACCAACTGCGCCACCCAAGATGGGAATACTTTTTTGAACTCAAAGATTTTATCTTGTTTCAGGGCAAGTATATTTCCAAAGTCAATGGAAGTTCCAAAATCAATAAAAATCACTTTCATTCTAAAGATGTTTTTGTAACTTGGGAAGTGACTTTAGAGTAATGTGGTGAGAACAGTGAACTAGGTGTTGGAACACCTGGCTTGAATCCTCTCGCTACAGCCTGAAAGCAAGTCACCTCCTTTCTCTGAGCCTGTCTCCTTGGCTGTTAGCAGAATTGTTCTCAGTGGTCGTGGATGCCACCTCCATACGCTGCATCAGCTTTGTGAACTGGGCTACCCACAAGGCTTTGAGGCAGAGGGGCTGGCCACAGTCCTGACAGACGGGGTGACTGCTCATAGTGAAGTTTCGGTGCACTTACATTTGTGTTCACATTTCCTACCTGCTGCCTCTCTCTGGGCTGGGAAGCTCTTGGGCAGTGGGCCTGAAAGTGAATCCAGTGGGCATGGAGATAATTCTAGCCCCTTCTGTGTTATTGTCTGCTTCCTCTTGCTAGATTTGTATGAGTGAGCGGAGGAGGGTGGGGTAGTTGGAGGATGGGGGGCGGGGTGAACACTTCTGTGGGTCCGCAAGTCCTTCCATCCCTCTGTATGAGGCTGCTTTTGGAGGAAAGTCCATCAGACAAATGTGGACTCTGGGGTGCCTCTAGGCACCACGCACAGAGAAGTGGTAAGGTAAGAAAAAACATAAACCTTGGTTGAAGACTGAAGTCTTTGTAGAAAAACCTTATACCAAACACACGAGATATGTGCAGTTGAATTTCAAGTCACAATTATACCACAGAAGATGGTGTCTCTGACAGTGTGTTTAACAGACTCACTGTACCTGCAGGTCTATCTCAGCACAATGTAGATTTTCTTTCTTTTTTTTTTTTAAGGATTTTATTTATTTACTTGAGAGAGAGAGAGAGAGAGAGAGAGAGAGAGCACAAGCAGGGGGCGGAGCAGAGGGAGAAGGAGGCTCCCTGCTGAGCAGGGAGCCCGATTCTGGGCTCCATCCCAGGACCCTGGGATCACGACCTGAGCCAAAGGCAGACACTTAACTGACTGAGCCACCCAGGCGCCCCACGATGTGGATTTTCTTAAGTGAAAATGACAACTGGAGCACCCTGAGCAGAGCTTTGATAGAAGTGGATCAGATTGTGGCCATGGACCATAGAAAGGGTGGCAGGGCCAGGATGAGGCATTCACATCTGGCAAGGAATTTAAGGATGGTGGGGAAGGCAAAAAACTCAGGAATTAAGATAAGTAATAGTTTGATGCAATATTTTTATTTATTTATTTATTTATTTATTTTTAAGATTTATTAATTTATTTATTTGACAGAGAGAGACACAGCGAGAGAGGGAACACAAGCAGGGGGAGTGGGAGAGGGAGAAGCAGGCTTCCCGCTGAGCAGGGAGCCTGATGCGGGGCTCGATCCCAGGACCCTGGGATCATGACCTGAGCCGAAGGCAGACGCTTAACGACTGAGCCATCCAGATGCCCCTGATGCAATATTTTTAAAGCAAAATTAATGCAAAAAATCCGTGATGAACAAAATACCAAAATTTTAAATAAAGACAGGATGTTATTGTTTTACACCCCTGCGTTGTTGGGCAAGGAAATGGTCATTTTCAAAGAGCCTGGGATTCCCAAGCCCACAGGACCATCACAGTTCCCGGCTGGCAGGTAAATGAGAGTTGACAATGGTGAGCAAACAGCTTGGGCAACTCAGACCCTTCAAGACCCTGTGTTGTTGGGCAAGGAAATGGTCATTTTCAAAGAGCCTGGGATTCCCAAGCCCACGGGACCATCACAGTTCCCGGCTGGCAGGTAAATGAGAGTTGACAGTGGTGAGCAAACAGCTTGGGCAACTCAGACCCATCAAGTGTTTTGATGATAGAGCTTTCTTTTATTATTATTATTATTATTATTATTATTATTATTATTATTATTATGTTATGTTAGTCACCATACATTCCATCATTAGTTTTTGATGTAGTGTTCCATGATTCATTGTTTGTGCATAACACCCAGGGCTCCATGCAGTACATGCCCTCTTTAATACCCATCACCAGGCTAACCCATCCCCCCACCCCCCTCCCCTCTAGAACCCTCAGTTTGTTTTTCAGAGTCCATAGTCTCTCATGGTTTGTCTCCCCCTCTGATTCCCCCCCTTCATTTTTACCCTCCTGCTATCTTCTTCTTCTTTTTTTTTTTAAACATAAAATGTATTATTTGTTTTAGAGGTACAGGTCTGTGATTCAACAGTCTTGCACAATTCACAGTGCTCACCATAGCACATACCCTCCCCAATGCCTATCACCCAGCCACCCCATCCCTCCCACCTCCCACCACTCCAGCAACCCTCAGTTTGTTTCCTGAGATTAAGAATTCCTCATATCAGTGAGGTCATATGATACATGTCTTTCTCTGATTGACTTATTTCGCTCAGCATAACACTCTCCAGTTCCATCCACGTCATTGCAAATGGCAAGATTTCATTCCTTTTGATAGCTGCATAATATTCCATTGTATATATATACCACATCTTTTTTATCCATTCATCTGTTGATGGACATCTTAGGTCTTTCCACAGTTTGGCTATTGTGGACATTGCTGCTATAAACATCGGGGTGCACGTACCCTTTCGGATCCCTACTTTTGTATCTTTGGGGTAAATACCCAGTAGTGCAATTGCTGGATCGTATGGTAGCTCTATTTTCAACTTTTTGGATGGTAGAGCTTTCATTAACATTGTCCACTTGGTTAAAAGATGAGTGGGTGTTTTGGTAAGTGTATATAGGGGCAAACAATCTTTGTCCTCAGATTCTGATGCAGACTGGCCAGACCGCAGGTTTGGAATATGAAATTAATGGTTTTTATCTGAGGTGAAATGGAGATTTTCTAAGGAAGTGAAGCTAGTGAGTAAGCGAAATTGAAAAGAGTTCTTTTATCTCTGCTTCCTTAAGAACATGCTCAACAAAATGTGACTTTCCGTCCCCCCCACCTGCCCATTCTTTCACTACCAAATATTTTTAAAGGGAATTCTCTCTCTGCCCAGTACTTTCTCTAAACACCGATCTTTCACATTTATGGGTTTCTTTTCGGCACGTAGGACAGGAACTAAACCATTCTAGAGACTTGGTAAGTGTTCTATAATGAAGGACTGAATCCACGTGAAATCAGGTGTCTCCCCAACCACTGCATAGATATGAGAGCTCTCTTTTCCTGAGACCACTTGCCTTGGACTCTTGCAGGTTTGGACACTGGTCTCTGTCCTGTACTCCTTTCTCTTCATTGCTGTCCTTGATACCTCTCTTTTCTGGATCTCCCTCAGTCCTCCTGACAACTCTGCTCCAGAAGGAGCATGGCCTTGTCTTCCTCATTCTTACTCCTGTAAGTGCACTGGTGCTGTTCAAGATTCAGTTTTGTTCTTTTTCCACAGAAATCTCTGGCACCCCCAAATTCTAGGCTTACCTCCACAGAGAAGACTCTCAAATCTGAATCCCATCCGTACCTCTTCTGTCACCTCTTATCCCACGTTTCTGATCCTTTTTGGACCCTTGGAGATTATACTGACTCTAGACTTAATAACATCCCTCCCTCAATGTGGAATTTCCTCCTACATTCTCTTTACATCATGTCCTATAATCAGCTTCACATGCTCAAAAGCTCTCTTTTGGACTCATTCCTCTCCTTTGCTGCCCACAGCTAATAAAATATCAAGCTTTTTCTCTTGTATTCATCTTTTCCTTTCTGTTCCTATTACCATAATCTTTATTCAGAAATGTCATGCTTGGGACATGCATGGGAGGAGTCTCCCCGCACATGCCTGCCACCGCCAGATTCATGTCCTAAACCTGAGACTCAAAGTGTCACAGTTCTGCCAAAGAGAAGAAAAAACAAAGTAACAAGTATCCTCGCCATCCCCTCCCTCCTGGCTATGGAATAACCAATACCAGTTAATTCACTGAATTGATTATTCAAGACCCTTTTTAAAGAAGCTTTTTTTTGGCTGTTGTTTCTGAAACATTTTTTATGTAGTGAAGTGCACAGATCTTAGGTATGTACGTTGATAAGTTTTGACAAACATATATAACTATGTAACCAACATAAACCAATCAAGATATAACACATTCCTATCAGCCTAGAAAGTTCCTTTATGCCCTTTCCAGTCACTCTCCAGCCCCTTGTCCACTGTTTAATTTTTTCTATCACATAGGTTACTTCTGCCTGTTTTTAAATGTCATATGAATGGGGCGCCTGGGTGGCTCAGTCATTAAGCGTCTGCCTTCGGCTCAGGTCATGATCCCAGGGTCCTGGGATTGAGCCCCGCATTGGGCTCCCTGCTCTTCAGGGAGCCTGCTTCTCCCTCTCCCTCTGCCTGTCACTCTGCCTACTTGTGCTCTCTCTCTCTCTCTGTCAGATAAATAAATAAAATCTTTAAAAAAAAAGTCATATGAATGGAATAAATCAATAATTCTTGTGTCTGGATTCTTCACTCATCGTAATGTTTCCGAGATTCATCCATTTTGTTGTTTATAACAGTAGTTCTTTCTTTTTTATTGCCAAATAGCATTCCGTTGTGTTGATATACCACAGTTTGTCTATCTGTTTTCCTGCGGTATTTGATTTGTTTCCAGTTCAAGGCTAGGATACATAAAACTGCTCTAAATATTTTTGTGCAATGCCTTTTTGTAAGCATTGTTTTATTTCAGTTGGGCAAACCACTAGGAGTGAAATTGCTCACTAAGATCCTTAATATTTTGACCAGATCTACTTCTCTCTTTCTCTCTGCCTCCCTCTCTCCCTATTCCCGCTGCCCCTAACACATACACATACACACACAGATATCCTCACTCACCCCTAATCTGCTCAACTAGATTATAATCTCTTTGAAGACAAGAAAATGTCTTATTTCTCTTTGGATCTCCCACAAGGCTTAGGAGAGTTTTTAAAACTTTTCAGTTACTTGGGAAATATTATTTGATTGAACAATTCAACTACATAAAGAAATCACACGGCCATTTCATTTCATGGTGGTGGAGACGGGGAAAGCCCCAGGACTGAGGTATCCTGAGAGGTCAGCGACTCATGCCTGAGAGGAATCCATAGCTCATTCCCCCTCTCTGCGTGCCCCCCACATTGTAGGCTCACTTAATGCGGCCTTCTTACCACACGAGATTGTCACTGCTCTTCCCCACCAAAGTGAATGAAGAATTCTGTCCTCCGGAGGGTAGTGACCAAGAGTACTGAGCCTGCAGACAACTGCCTGGATTTGAATCTAGGCTCCAAAGCTGACTTGTTGCAGGATTACTTTTTCTTTTTTTTAAAGCTACCTACATTTCCCGAGCTTCAGTTTTCTCTTCTATAAATGAGGACAACAGTACTACTTTGTAAGTTTGTTGTGAGCATTACATCATCATAACTACTATTTTTTTGGGGGGGGGCTTTTTGTTATCTAGGCACTGTTTCTACACGTGCTAACAATCCTCACAACAGCCCTATGGTGCCACCACGTAGACACTGAGTCGCAACGAAGTTAAATAACATGTCGATGACCCTACTGCTCGTTTATGGTGGGGTCTGAATTCAAAATCAGGCAGTCTGAGTCAAGAATGTATATACTTAACCCCTGTAATAAACTGCCTCCCACAAGTAAGATGACGTACGTGGATGCTGTTCCCAGTACATGTACTTCTTCAGTAAACATCATCTGCTGGTCATCAACATTATCGCCACCATTCCCGGTTCCCATTTCTTTAAAAAGAAAGCATTTTATAGGTAGCCCAGGCTTTGTTTGCCTTTCACTGAGGTGGTGTACATTTCAATTGGTAGCATAAGGGGTTCTTTGTTATGTCAAGTTTTGAGCTCAAGTTCTTTATGTATATTAAAATATAATTCATATTTTCTCAGGGTGGTGGTCGTGGTGGTAGGTATGGTCTTTAACAAATATCTGTTTGGATGTGTGTAGACACTTAATAGACCCCAGTGAACTGGATTCGTTCTTTAGAGAAGCTTTAAGTGTGTTAGTTTGGGGGCTTCCTCGAATCTGTGGGTAGAGCCCCTGAAAGCTCTTAAAAACATCTTTCCAGGACTTTCTGTTATGAGAATCAATGGAAATATGAAAATTAGTTGGCAGGCCAGGGGAATAGCAGGAGTGATCAGCGGCACCTGGAGAAGGCTGTCCGAGCACTATAGCTGTGTCTTCACTTACCCATCCGACACCGCCCACCCATTGACAGTCTCGTCTCCTAAGAGGGCCTGTCCCTAACCAGCCTCAGTTTGCCGTTGCTGCTTCATTTCAGAACTCAGCCCCTACCTCACAGGGGGAAGGACCAGATTTCTTGTAGTCAGCCAAGGTCAAGACGACCACTGAGTCTAGCATTGTGGCCACCGTTTGTCATCGTCAGTCATCCTTAGTGACTTGGGAGTAATTCCTCAGCGTGGCTCTAGAAGCTTTAAAGACCTTCTTTCTCATCTTTGCTCTCCGTCCTACAACCTCCAGTTATGAGAACAAAGTCATCGGATGTCTTGTTCCATGACTGTTTTGCTTCTTCTCAGTGCTGTGCGTCTGCCTCCCTCGAGCATCTTTGGTTAACCTCACACCAGCCATTCCGCCATTCCAATGTAGGAGCTGTATCTCTCCCAGCAGAGCGTCACTTCTATTTCTTGATTGCTAGATAACAGGAGAATTTATAATCGTCTGATTGCATTAGCTCTAAACCTGCGTGGGGTAAACAAATCACCGTGGAGAGAAAATGTGATTTAAAGGTACGGAAAATGATTGAAGGTGTTATTAAATTCTTTTCCCCTTGTATTAATTTCCAGTGAGTTCTTCATGCCTGGGCTGGTTGATACACACATCCACGCCCCTCAGTATTCTTTTGCTGGGAGTAATGTGGACCTGCCGCTTTTGGACTGGCTGACCATGTACACATTTCCTACAGAACTCAAATTCCAGAACATTGACTTCGCTGAAGAAGTATATACGAGAGTTGTCGTAAGTATCTTGCTTGTTAGTAGCAGTGTGTTATGACCAAATCACCTGTAGACACGTCCATTTCTTGGGGCATATTTTAATTATAAAACATAGGCAGTTGAGGCTAGAATGGACTGTGGAGACATTTTCAGTTTTCTTCAAAGCCCAAGGAGTATGTGGACCATCCACCTCATCTACACAAGCTAACCCGCAGCAGAGAGAGCACTTGAATCCAAATCCTCAAATTCCCTATCTGGTGGACTCTCTTGACTCTTGGTCTGTTACTTCTTGTGTTTCGAGTTACTAAATTTGAGTTTCATGCACGTGTGTGTTCCCTTACTCCTGCCAATCCACAGTGCTGTTCTGGGGACCATATGGAATAGCTGTGTAACCTTTGGAAAGTTCCGTGACTCATTTTCCCCATCTGTAAAATAAAGTAGAGATCATGATAGTAACTACTTCATAGGATTGTTATGATAAGTTAGTATTTGTGAGGTTCTTAGTGCCTGACACATGGTAAGCGTTGTATATGTTTGCTTTAAAAAACATGCAAGGAAATTTAAAAATAGAAGTTAAAATTACAGTTAGAAGGATATCACATTATTTTAGTAGCTTCCCAAGGAGGGGAAATAGGACGGCTCCCTATAGCAGGGTACGTAGGAACATGATGAGCATTAACACCACTAGAGGGAGCTAGGGAGCTAGTTCAAGTCATTGAAGAGTGCCATCATTGAACAGTGCCAACCATATATTGAAGGCTCTGAAGATGTCCTTACTTCCACCCTCTCAAGGAAATCAGTCCCCTTCTTTCTACTCCAGCCCTATGCCAAATCCACTCAGCAACCAGAAACAGCTTCTGCAGTGGAGAATACCTTTTGCAAATACTTTCTTATCTGACCACTACCTCTTGTCATGCAGCCCACTTAGTCTAAACATTTCTGCATTGTTGTTGGACCCATGGATGGTCTTTCTTCTAAAGTGATGGCTATGGGATGGTGACAGTATTTTAAGTCTTACACAGTTACCTAGCCATTCTGCCATTTCCTCTGGTCCTGTATCATTCAAGCCTTGAGGAGTAGAAGTAAGTGCTATCCTTTATATACTTGACTTCCTTTATTGTAATTCAGTGTAATTGTGGATCTTACCTATTTAGCATGGATCCACATAACACCAGAAAAACTGAGAAGGACTAACACAGTGCATGAAGTTGCTGGGGCATTGTGTTAATGAATTGTGTTAACCACACCAAATCTTTTTATTCTCAAAATTTATTTATACCTCTCATTGTTCTAAAAAGATGTCTCATTGTTTGAGATATCTTAAAATAAAATAGTGTACAATGGAAGCAAATGAGTCATGAAAGTGTGGCAAAGGAAAAAAGGGGGAAAGAAAAATAGAACTGCGAGGTAAATGTATACCATGCGGGGCCATGAACTTGTTAGAATTTGTCACAAATTCAGCTTTAAGTTTCTAGCTGCTGACCCAGAGAGGGAAATCAGTGATGTAATTTACACTGTGTATATGATAAAGAATAAAACATTTGTTAAGGTAAAGCATTTCTATTACTCATACTGATTTTCTTAAAAATTAGTTTCAGTAATAGTTCATATAGATACATGCTATGATGTCAAAATGTATATTATTAAGATGCTATAGTATTTTTAAAAACCCCAAATACATCACTGTTTTATGTTTAGACACTTAGAGTATCTAGAACCATATATCCTTCAGGGAGTACTCCATAAATACTATTTCTTGTATCAGAGAGTTAAGTATTTGATGTCAGTGAGTACAAAATAAATTTTATTCTCGACACATACTTGCATTGCATACATCCTATGTTTCTGATTATGAGCAGGCAGGCCTGCACACTTTAACAGTTGAATGAGCTGATGATATGGTTGAAATCTGTAGAAAGTTGAGATTTGTTAACTAGAACCTGTCCCTAGACTGACGACTGCTCACGGCAATGCAAAGGGATGTTAAAACAGTAGGTCCGGAGAGATCCAAGCCATTTTTGTTTATTTTATTTTCTCCCTCAGAAAACAGTCCTAGAGCTATACTTCAGCAAATGGGCAAATCAAGACCCAGAGTTCTGCACCATAGATGACAGTGATCATTTAATGTGCAAATAATTTAAAGTATGTATTAGCAAACATCTCCTGAGATTACTTAGAAAAAAAATCCCAGTAAAACAAGCCTGGATTATCTGCCTTTAAACATTGCAAACTGGGTGAGAGATTACAGTTTCAAATTAGACTGGAATAAACTAAAAAGACTAGAAGGTTCAGGAATCTATATATTATATAGCTTGCAGTCAAGGGATTGGACAATGAGATCCTGGTAAATGTGCCAAGATAAACGAGTTGCAAGTATTCTGGGGAATAGGATGAATATGCTTACTCTATGGGGTTGTCAAAGATTCAACTGATGAATCCAACTAATTCCAAAAACGTATCAAATCATTAAAGTACAAGGTGAATAGAAAGGGGATAGGCCACTCTTTCCTCCCTATTTCAGCCCAGTGGAAATGCAAATCATCTAATCTGTTAAGAAGCCATTGCTACTGATCTTGAAGTTTGCAGTCATCCTATGTTTGGCATCTATTTTGAGCTTAAAAAGCTTGGTCTCCAAACCCTTCTTGCCAAGAATTGAAGGCTGAAGAAAGATTGAGAAACACAACCCACAGTCTGATGTTGTTCTTGGTAGATTCTTATAAACTGGAAAAATACAAACTCATTACTAACGGAAGAACCCTCTTTAAAGCTTATGAGAAACTAGGGTGGCCTTGGGTCCAGGATGCCCAAATATAGAACAAATGAAGGGAAGCAGCTGTATTTTAGATGGCCTCTTCAGTAAGGTTTTAAAACCAAACTAATTTCTTTCAATTACGTAAGTCTCACACATGTAACTTGTTGGTGAAATGGGTTGAAGTCAGTGGGAACCAGTAAGAGTAGCTTGGGGTTCTTTCCTTTCTCCTCTCCCTCCTTCCTTTTCTTTTTTTCCTCTGTGGTTTTTCCCTGTCCTGTTCTTTAACTATAATTTGAGCAGATTCTTGAACTTTCTAGTTCGTTCCAGTCCAACTTGAAAGTGCAATTTCTCAACTAGTGAAAACACCCCTCCCCTCCCCTCGCTTGCCTCCGTCAGAGGAAGAACTTACTATCCATGTCTGTGTGGCACTTCCATTGTCCTTCTTGCTAAACAGCCAACACTTTCCATTTTGAGTTCATCTTCAAGCTAAGATTTTAGAAAAGTGTGTACAATTTTGAGAATTTAGAAAATGTTAGATTACAGTTCTGTTTTAATTTTGAGTTTCACTTTACTCTGGTTAGTGTATGCAGCCAGACTCATGGCTCCATCTCATGACCCTGAGATCATGACCTGAGTTAAAATCAAGAGTTGGATGCTTAACTGACTGAGCCACTCGGGCTCCCCCATAGATTTTTTTTTTTTTAAATCCAGCTTCCTTCTGGCCTTAGAGATTGCCTCTTTCCTCTGAGATTTTTTTTCCCCAGATTCCTTTTTCCTCCTTCTCCTCTTTTTTATACTAACTTTCCTCCAATGTCTGTTGAACCTTGAACATACATTTCATATTTAAGTGCGATGCTCTAAAATGGTGATTGGAAGTCTGGATGGGGATAACTCTTGTTGGCTAGTGAACCTCATTACAGGATAAACAGTGAAGGCAGTAAACAGCCCTTTCAACTGTGGGCCCCAAATGCCACTGTGAGGATATCTTCCTTCTAGAACCAGTCATCTTCTCTAGGGAACAGTTCCTCAGTCCCGCTAGGAGTGGTGGGAGTTGCATATGTGGGATTTTGGGGAAAATGACCAAGGATCCAGAGGGTCAACCAGATTATCCACTTAAAACTCTTTCCAGTCTCTGCTGAAGCTTGTTGCCATATTGGGTGTCTAGTCTCCAAATACTGTTGCAAGTTTCTGCAAGAGCAAATCTCTCCTGCAAGAATCAGGTTGGCCTGGTTGGCTGATTTCAACAAGGAGAAGGGTCCTGCCAGGGTTTAATCATCTGTATACAGATTGTCAGCCAATTCTCTATTAGCAGCTCTGTGCTTCTTTCTCTTCTTGCAGAGTCACCTCCAGGTTCTTATCCATGTTTTTTTTTTTTTTTTTTTGTCTTCCAAGGGGATGTAGAAATGTTTCCTTTGCTCATGTCTCTTTCTTCTGGGTTAATACATTTTATACTTCTTTACTGTTAGTTTAGTGGAATTGTGCTAAGGAAGGGAGATAAATACACGGGACTAATCTGCTGGGTTGAACTAGAAATCTGGCTGAATAATTTTGCCCTCTTGTAGATGGAAAAATCTCATTTACTCATCCCTTGATGCAATAAAGTTTGTATATCCTCAAATAATCCTAAAAACCAAGGAATTAATTAGTATTACATTTTGTGAAGTCTGCAACACGGAACAGTGTGAAATCTAGGAAATCAGAAGCACCAGCTTCTTCTCCAGCTCACACTTTTGGATATAAATACTTTTGCCATTTACCTTAACTGTATTTCATATCAAGATGGCATACCTTTAAATAAAAATATTTTAAAATTAAAAACTAGAATTCTATTTTCATCTTTATTTGCCATGTGACTTTTCTGGGCACACGCGATTCATGGTTTTTGTGATTTATTTTTAGAGGAGAACACTAAAGAATGGAACAACCACAGCTTGTTACTTTGGAACAATTCACACTGACTCATCTCTGCTCCTTGCAGAAATTACAGGTGAGGAAATGAAAGCATGATTTATGGGCACATCAAGCCAAGACAGTCAGACCATGCCCGGCAATGACTTCTACATGTGGGCTGTCCTGCCTCTTAATTGCTAGAATTTGAGCTCTGCATTTCTTGCAAGTAATTAGGTGTTTGTGTATGGCCCTTGAATGTTTTTTATTGTGTAAGTAATTTGATTATTTATTTATGGTTTTGGCTCCAGAATGATGTGGACGGGTCTGAATTTTGCGTATTAATTTAGGGTGTTTGGGACCAAGTTTACTAATTCTCACTGTGGCAACAATTTATTATATTATAATCCGCAGACACATCTTGGCTCTTGGCTAGACTTAGGGCACTGTGCTCGATGCTGGGAACACAATGAAATAGAAAATAACTGTATTAACAGTGGCTGTGCTCTTGCTGGATGCCTAGCTTTGCACAAAGCACTCTCCATGGATTATCTCAGCTCAGTTGCAAACAGTCTTTGGAAGTAGGCATTCATGCCCTCATGTCACAGATGGATAAACTGATGCTCAGAGGCCATAACATGCCCAAGTCACACAGCTAGGAAACAGATCTGAGACTGGCTTTAGATCAGTAATTCCAAAACTTGTACCTCGCACAGTGCCCAGAACATGGCAGATGCTCAGTAAATACCATTGGCTGATGCATTGATACTTCTGCTTGCTGGCCAAGGTAGGTTCTGCCAGAGGCTTAAAGGGTAGCCCTGAAAATATATATTGCTATTTTTGGAGGAGACAGAGAAGACTCAGAATTGGATCATCTGGAAAGAATTCATAGAGGGTGCCTTTAAATGGGGCCCTACAGGAACATAAAATGGGGAGGGAGGAAAATGTCTTCCCAACAGGGGAAATAACATGGACAAAGCTATGGGGACAGGGATATCCATAGTGGATACAGGAAGCAAGGAACAGAATAGCTGAGCTGGAGGACAGGCTTCATTGCACAGTGGGGTGGGAGAGGAGGTTGGGCGGATGGGATGGTTCAGACTGTGGCGAGATTCGAATATGCATCAGATACTCAGATTTTGAGCCAGATGATGTATGTGATGAAGGTGGTGTTTCAGGTAAGAGTAATCTAATGGCCAGGTATCACAATGAATTACAGGGGAAAGAGAGAGGCAAAAAGACTTTTGCAAGATTCTTATGACAGAAACAGAGACATGGTACAAACAGTATCACCCCATGTAGCTTCAACGTTCTAGCCGAAATAAAATTTCTCTGGCACCTCGAATGAGGACCCGGTTCCTTAGTGCTGAGAGCTGCCAGTAGGACTATGTCAAATTCCCCACTGATGATAATATTGGCGTTGCTATGGTTAGGAAAAGTGGCTGTATCTTTTCTAAGCCCTACATGCCAGACACTTTGTATACATTATTGGGTGTATTCCTCACAACCCTACATGTAACAGAGGACACTGGGCACATACAGGGTTAGACCTTAATCAAATATTATCACCATCTTGGTAGTAATCCAAGGAATAAGGAGTCAGTGGAAGACCTTGAACTACTTACAGAATTTGGTGTGGTTTTGTTGTCGTCGTTATTGTTCTTAAATGGTGTGATGATCTTTTACATTCTCACTTGTGTTTTCATAATGATTTTAATTTAAATGTGTTTCTAAAGGCTTGGGAGGGATATACTGTTTGGGGGGAAAAACATGACTTCAGATTCTGTTTGTGTGTCCCTCTCACAGATAAATTTGGGCAGCGGGCATTTGTGGGCAAAGTCTGCATGGATATGAATACCAGTGTTCCAGAATACAAGGAAACCACTGAGGAATCAATCAAGGAAACAGAGAGGTACATGCATCTTGATTTGTCTTGTGGGCGGTCCTTCTGAGGCACTGATGGAGTTAGAGATGGAGAGAGGCAGGCTCTGTGAACCAGGCCGATATGCACATATGTCACTGTGTGGGTTTGCCCTACTTTATGCAGGTGGTCTGGTCCTAAAGAAAATGTTGCATGTCAATACCGTTCTGAAGCCTCTGGGGACTTGTTATAGAGTCCTAGGGTGAATCCCTATGTGAAATGAAGGATTCTTTTTGTAAGTTAATGATTTACCACTTCCTTCTCCTTTAGTATAGATAGATGGAGGCCTCTCCTGTAAATTGAACTTGCTTTAAAAAGTGTATGTGCGCATCAGATTACTTTTGGTGGCGGGGTCATCCTCTTGCCTGAGATCATGAGCTTTCGTTATGTTCTTTTTATATTACACTGGGATAGTCTACGGATCTCAAAAGTACTTTATCTACATTTCTTTAATGGCTTTTCCATAGTCCCTTGAGGATTTGATTTGACAAGGAATTGCGTTGTATGACATTCGACATCCAAGAGATATAGAAGAACATTCTTTAGATGTAAATCTTCCCCAGGACCTAACCTATCCTGATGCAGGTTTTAGGAGCCCAACTTTTCTACAATTCCAGACCTCCTTCACCTTAAATGTGTCCTCTGGAAAAGGTAGCTCAGGAACCACCACCTGCTCACAGAAAGAGTGAAGCATGCACCTTCCTCGTATCGTTGGCCACATGCTGAACTTTTCTATGGATGTGTGTTTGTGGTCATAGTAAACCTTAATCCCCATTTTGTTCTGAAACAAAGGACTACCAGAAGGCAGAAAGCTAGCGAATAAATTTTTTCAGTTGGGGCACAAATAGCTGTTTCATAGGCCCTACAGATACCACCATCCCTCATTGCCACCCCCATCCCGTCTGGTCCCGTTCCTCCCCTCTCCCCCCTCTCCATTTCATAGCCACCTCTGGCCTGTTCCATCAGCCTTACTCCGATGTCTGTGCCCATAGAGTTCTATGGCTTCTAAATGCCTCCAGGTGCATAGGATTCCGTGATTCTAATATCCATGGAGTATAACATCCTGCAATATTCCCCCAAATAGAGCTTAAGCCAGTGGAATGGTTGAGTTGTATGGGAATACTCATGAACAGCCCAGCTGATGTTAGAGGATAAAATTGCATTTCCCTGTGATTTTGCATTCTATTTCTCTGGCTGCAAATGAGAAAGCAGAGTAATTACTACTTGTTAATCTTTAATTAGTGGTGGTGAAACATGTATGGCATTAGAAATGTTTGCATGGAAATTAAGACATGTAAGGATCATGTTTTCACCCTTTAAAAAAATCTATTTAAAAATGCCAAAATTTTCTATCTTCCCATTTGTTGCTTTATTTCAGATTTGTGTCAAGAATGCTCCAAAAGAACGTAAGTAAGCTTGTTCCCAGCTTGATTTTGGATTGCTTTTGTGTCATTTGTTAAGATTTGCTATTAAGTTGTTTGGTAAAGATTAGTCTGTAAACGTTTGGCTTACTCCATGCATGCAGAAATATCTCCCCAGAGCCTTCAGTTGTTTTTATAGTCGACCCATCAACTCAGCTCTGTGAGGTCGGGCTTTTTTGTCTCCTCGGTGGTTTTCCCTTCCTCTTCTCTGGAACCTTCTAATCACACAGGACTGGTCCCTGGGGAGGTGGGAGAGGGCTTCCTGGATGTGGACAGATTGGGAGCAACTGGAAGTTGGCTACATCAGCAATGACTCTGGCCTCTTGTACTCCCTGATCTGGTCTGGAGCACGGGTGGTGTCCACCATGATACCCCAGCCTTTGGCTGCCTTGGTCCCTAACGTGTGGTATGTCACATGGCCTGCAGGCCCTCGGCCGGCCACTCCTCTTTGCAGTGCCTGGTGTTGGTGAGTCTGTGGAGGCAGGGCTGTCTCCTTCCCCCACTCCCAGCAGACCAATTCGTAGCTCCATTGTGCAACCTCTTAGATTGGCAAGCCAGACCCTTCCCTTACCACCTTTTGAGGTCTAATTGGAAACCATGAGAACCCTATTACTTTCAGTCTAATCTTGGGAGAACTAGGTGGAGCTTTGGGGGTCCTCATGCTCACCACCTCTCTTGAGCCCTTCTCACCTGCTCAGCCTTTACCTTGGGTGACACCAGACCCAGTACTGCCACCAGATGTCCTGAGGGAGGCCATGGCTGGCCCTCCTCCCCAAGATGTAGATGGGGAGTAGACCACCACTTCACTTTGAGTCTCCTCAGAGCAGCCTCCTTTAGAAGTTCTTCTGCTTCCCATTTTTCTTCATGAAGGCCATGCAGTCAAGGCCTTGTCTGAGCCTTCATGTAGATGTGGGACTGGGGCTGTCTGTCCTTGGAGACAGGATCTTCTTCCATTGAACTTGGTGCTACAGAATATTCTCTCTGTTGTCCTCAGCCAAGAGCTGTTTCCATGAAACCCACTACTTCTACCCACTCTTAGAATGGGGGGCTATCCTCCAAAATGAAGACATAAAATTATCATGTTGTATGATATGCATGTTGGGGTATGCCACACTTTCCTGATATCCATAGTTTCCTTACCAATTTTTTTTTTATTATTATTTCCAGTATTCTAGAGTTAAGCCCATAATGACACCACGTTTTTCCCTTTCCTGCTCTGAAACTTTGTTGGGTAAACTGGGAAACATGGCGAAGACCCATAATTTGCATATTCAGGTGGGTATTTTTCTGCTGTTTGTGCCCCTGTCCAGACCTGCAAGACTTTTCAGTACCCTAAATTCTGGCAGTCATCTCCAATTCTTCTCCTGAGATCTCCTAGAGAAATAGCATCATAGGATGGGAAGGGCTCTTATAGACGTCACCTAATCCACTTCTTTAATTTCTCAGATAAGAAACTTGAAGTTCCTTTTACCCTCATCTTCTCTGATCAGACTTAGAGAGACGAGGACATCATATGTAACCAAGCCAGATCAATAACACACTGGTTACCTGTTCTCTGTAGGATACATTTAATTAGTTTCTTTCTTGCTTCTCTCTTTTATTTGATCCTTTTCTCAGTGTTCCAGTCCTTCATTTTTGGAGGAACCACCTATTACTTGAAAAGCAAAAAGAACCTAATTTCTCCCTTACAAAAATGCATTTAAAAGCCCTTTTGTTCCGAGTTTCTTAATTTAAAAATCAGGAACAAAAAAGGATATCTTACTTTGTCATTAAACGGTTGCAATTTAGGAATGAAACACTTTTTAAAGCTTCCAGCTGGGTTAAAATTGGGAGTTGCAGGCTGTCCTTCCTCCACCCAAGCTTCATTACAGACTGCACTAACATTTTCCCTCTTAAGAGTGGACTATCTTATAACCAAGGGCAAGTTAGGGGAAAGGCAACATATTGATTCTTTATCAGGGTGGAGGGTATTTTGTTTTGTTTTGTTTTTTTAATAAGATTTATTTTGTTGGGGCTCATTAACTATTCTCATCACTCCCTCCCCCCTTTTGGGGGACTGTGATATTTGTATTTTTGATTCAAACCCACACAATTGTAGGGGAGAAAAAGTTTTCTTCGACCTTCTTAGAGTCCCTGGCTGGGTCCGAAAACTAAATTGACAAAGACAATAGGAGAAAAGCATACAAATGTATTTAAAATAAGTTTTACATGATAAGGAGGCTTCATAAGGAAATGAAGACCCAAAGAAAGAGAGCATTTCTAGGCCAGTGCATAGTCATGGAGGAATAATTGTTTGGATTCTTTGGGGCATCCCTTTGTCTTCAGAGATAAGGATGCTCCTTTCCTCCAAGGATAGGGTGGGCACCCCTCACATAAAAGCTTTATGATCTGTTTCATTCTGACCTTCGGCTATTTTCCTTCAGCTTAAAATATGCAGTATGCCATGGTGCCATATTTGGAGCTAGGATGTCCTGAACTCCATGAACACAAAACAAAATCAACTATATCCTTGCTGGGGGGGGGGGGGGGGGGCGGGTATGCATGTGTGCATGTGCATTTAGCATTTACTCAACTTTATCAAAGTGAAAAGAATCATCTGGTTGTCCTTTTTTTCTCTTCAGATGCCCATGCATTTCTTCAGTGGTCTAGATTTCCTCAAGGCCAGGATAGAGCTCACCCTCTAGGTGGAACACTATTTTTAGAACATTGCTCTTTTTTCTCTTATTGCTTTGGCTCACACTACCTCATGGAGAAGGGGAAATGGCATTGCCATTCTTGGAAGTGGCAACTTGCTCATGAGTTTTTTCCTATTATATGTATTCATCACCAGTTGGTCTGGAAGGATTTTTGTTTTAGGCAAGGGTGTGGGGTTTATGGTGTCCTAGAGAAAGGTTGGCATGGGGGCCAGGACTCATTTGTTTTGATTGGACATGATTTTTATGGGCTCTTTTTTTGGTGACAGCAGGATTGTCTAGTTCAGTTATTTTCAAACTGTTTTCTGTGGAAGATCTCATTCTGGAAGTTGATGAAGGGGACAGAACGAGGACAGGGTTCTAGAGTCCCAATCCTGCTTCTTCCTGAGAAGCAACTTGTTTATGCCTTTTACATACTGTATTTCTATGAGTTTATATATGAACAACATACTCAAAGCTGAAAGAGTTTGGAAAATTACTCATTTAGCCCAACGCTTATATTTGAAAGATGAGACTATAGAGACCCAAAGGAAAGAACTGACTCACCCTACTGAAACATAAGTAGGCTCAGAACTTGAGCTAACATTCATTTCTCCTTGTTCAAATGCCAGTTTTCTTATGAGTGAACCATGCTGTCTTTCCTTTTATGGCCATGAAACTCTTCTCTTAAATGGCCAATATCAAAAGAGACAAGTTGCCACAAATAGCTAGGTTCAAGTACTGTCTTCAAGTACTTTTTATTTGTATTCATACTTGCTATAGAAAGAATATAACATGGGTTAAGGTTAGGGCTAGAACATTACATATTCAAGTAACTATCATGTTCACATTCATAGTTTCTTTTTCATATAGATGTGATATTATATATAATATGTATAATTGTTTTCAATACAACACATGTAGCATCTTTGTTGTCTTACATAGGCGAGTAGAAACCATCCTTATCATTTTGGGGTAGGAAGTATAATTTCTAATGGTATTTCACATTAGAAAATTGCAAATATTATTTATTTTCTTGTAGAGCCATATAAGTGAAAATGTCAATGAAGTTGAAGCTGTGAAGAACTTATTTCCCGATTATAAAAACTACACAGATGTGTATGATAGAAACAATCTTCTGACAAATAAGGTACACTGCATATCATGACATAATCTGTGTCAAGTAGGGCATATTTATCTACATTTCAAAATCTTAATAATTGGGGGGCAGTGGGAAAAAAATGAAATAATAAAATAAAATCTCAGTGGTAATCTTCAGACTTCTCCAACATGTGTGCATTTCCCAAACTAGAGTAAAGCTCCGAGGATGCTCATGCGTGGGTGTATAGTTAAAAATCAGCCTGCGGTTTCATCTCAGTAAATAAATCTCAAGGCTTCTTTGAGGATGGGAATGTCATTTGGTCCAAAGACATTTTGTCAGTATCCATTAGAATGTAAATGTGCATTCCCTTGAGTTAGCGGATGCATTTCTAAGGATCCATTCTGTAAGGAATATGAATAAGAATGTTAATTAATGTGAAAGTTAGGAAATGTCTATCAGTGAGTGATTGTTTAGATTATAGAACATCCGTAATTAAAATTATATCCAGCATTCACAAGAATGATGTATACAGGCTTACAAGGAAGAATGTTTATACGGTATTGTTTGATGTATGTGGGTGCATGCTCACTTAGAAAAAATTACCTGGAGGGGTGCTGGGTGGGGCTCAGGTCACGGTCTCGGGGTCTTGGGATCAAGCCCTGTATGGGGCTCCATGCTGAGTATGGAGCCTGCTTGGGATTCTCTCTCTCCTTTTCCCTCTGCTCCCCCCACTTATGCACTCTTTCTCTCTCTCTCTCTGTCTCTTAAAAAAAAATAATTATCTGGAATACAAACATTGACTGTTAAATGTGATCCTCCTGAGGGAGAAAACAGGGGACTTTTTACTCTGTATTTTTAAACACTGTGGTATTGCTTTAAAAAAAAGAGTGTATATAATACTTTCAGAATTAAATAATTTCACATTAAAATTAATATAGTGAGGAGGCACTTCATTACAACAATATACCCCTCGGCCTTGGCCTTCAATGAATTGTACAAACTTTGTGGAGAGTTGAACATACTGCAGCAAATAAATTCTTCGGGACTGTGAACGGAAGGCTGAATATGACTAATTTGAAAGGTTAATACTCTACATAGTTCCTGTAAATGCTATACCGTAATTTTCATCCTTCTCTACATATATTTCCATGTGATTAATAAATTAACCTGCCATTTGCATGTTATTTTTATTTGCACAGAGTTTGGGAAAATTTTATTTTAATAATAATTCTTGGTCACTGAACTGTACCTCCCAAAGGAGAAAGCTATCTGGAAACAGGTTTTGAACTGAAGGGAAAAGAATTTTGAAAGAGTAAAGCCTTTTTTTAATTTTAATTTTTTTCATTTGAGTAGAGTTGACACACAATGTTACATTGAGTTTCAGGTGTACAACATAGTGATTCAGCTTTTCTTTGTTACATTGTGCTCACACGTGTGCTACCATCTGTCACCATACAACCTATTACCATTGACTCTATTTCCTAGGATGGGCCTTTGAGTCCCATGACTTATTCATTCCATCACTGGAAGCCCGTGTCTCCCTCTCCCCTTCCCCCATTTTGCCCCATCCCCCCACACCTTCCCTTCTGGCAACCGTATTTGTTTTCCGTGTTTACAGGTCTGATTCTGCTTCTGTTTGTTTGCTTGCTAATTTTTCTTTGTTTTAGGTTCCACATATGAGTGAAATCATATGGCATTTGTCTTTCTCTGTCTGACTTATTTCACTTAGCATGATGCCCTCGAGGTCCATCCATGTTGTTGCACATGATCTCATGTTTTGTTATTAGAGTAATAATACATTGTATGTATACCATGAGAAGACTTAAATCCTTTTCAGGAAAACCCACAAATATTACCAGGACTAAACAGAGAAGTGTCGTATGTGGGCAGTGCCTGCCTTCTTGGGTCAACTTTATCTTCCAGATTAATGCATATAAAATACTATATTTCCTAATTTTTGTGAAAATGTAAATATAGGTGATAAAACAGTTTATTTGGTTGTGTCAACTATACTCCAATTAAAAAAAGACTTAAAAAATAGATAAAGATTATTTGGTTTTATGTATCAAGAGCATCGGGGGGCGCCTGGGTGGCTCAGTCGTTCAGTGTCTGCCTTCGGCTCAGGTCATGATCCCAGGGTCCTGGGATCGAGCCCCCGCATCGGGCTCCCTGCTCAGCGGGAAGCCTGCTTCTCCCTCTCCCACTCCCCCTGCTTGTGTTCCCTCTCTCGCTGTGTCTGTCTCTGTCAAATAAATAAAATCTTTAAAACAACAACAACAACAAAGAGTATCGGTGCCTGTATTCAACTAGGAGCAGAAATACAGAACACCTCTTTCCAGGATTACCCCACAGCTTCCATGTGCTGACAAAGGAAAGCTTACTTCTAGAAAGTCTGATTGAGATAGGAACAAGCCCAGCCTCACCAGTTGCTCACCACGTAGAATTAGAAAATGAAGTAACTTGGTTTTTTCTAAAGCAGAGATGAAGGCTGCGTCGTATCTTTGAGCTGGTTGGACATCCTACCCTCATTATTTTATAGAAAAAAAGAAAAAAAAGTAAGATCCACGTATTGGCAGAGACTTGTGTAATCCAGTGTTTCTACAGGCCTTTTTTTTTTTTTTTTTAAGATTTTATTTATTTATTTGACAGAGAGAGACACAGCGAGAGAGGGAACGCAAGCAGGGGGAGTGAGAGAGGGAGAAGCAGGCTTCCCGCTGTGCAGGGAGCCCGATGTGGGGCTCGATCCCAGGACCCTGGGATCATGACCTGAGCCGAAGGCAGACGCTTAATGACTGAGCCACCCCAGCGCCCCCCTACAGGCCTTTTTTGAGGGGTAACTTGTACACAGGGATTTTATACATACAAGTAATCGTAAGTGCTCTTGTGAAGATGCTCACAGATAAGTCACTGCTTCAATCTGTACCTGTAACATCTTGCTGTGAGTCAAGACTAAGGGAAACCTTTTTAAGAGGTAAATTCCACACAGGATACTCTTCTCTGCAGACAGTGATGGCACACGGGTGCTACCTTTCCACGGAAGAGCTGCAGGTGTTCAAGGAGCGAGGAGCAGCGATCTCGCATTGCCCCAATTCTAACTTATCGTAAGTAGGCAATAACCGGTCGGTCGGTGATGAGCATTTGGGTTGTGAATTAGCAGCCCAAATACCTTTGTTTTCTCAGTCAGGCCTCCACAGTGTCCCTCTTCGAGAGTTCTGTCTAATGGGGACAGGAACCAGACAGACGCACAGAAGCTTACCTGTGCCTCGGTGGGGAGAAAGAGCACGCAAAAGAGGATACTTTTTGCAGAGTAGGCATTTGAAGAACACAACATCCCTTAAAATTTCTGCATTTGCACAAAATGGGACAATAGGAAATATAACAGAAAAAGTTCAAAACCTACAGTGTTTCGGGGTTTGCAGCTAAGGACCGCAAGAACGCACATGCCAGCCAGGCATTCGGGGAGAGGGTACTGACTTTGCATGCTCTGCGGTCAGGAGAAGGAGCAGTGCTGCCATAAGCCGACACCCCATGCTATATCTCATGCTGCTGGATCCAACAGGATGCCGGTTCACATAGGAGAGACCGTGTCCTGTTGTAATTCCCCAGAATGCAAAGCTTTATTTATAATTAGTTTTTAACCCTTTGAAAGGTCTTAGATCCATAAGTGAGTCAGATAAAAATTATGGCCTGTGTTTTCAGAAAAAAGCTCACATAGATACAGAAACATTACATCTAATTTCAGGGAATTCATAGATCCCATGATACTGATCCATGGATGCTAGGTTAAGAATCCATGCTTTGGGATTCGATACAGAAAGGATCTCATTTCTGGAGCTAAGTGATCCAGAATAGAGCTCCTCCCACTTAGAGGCAGGTTGAGATGGATCATAATATTCATTCAGCGAATTTAGGTTCTGCTAGATTTAGTGTTTTTTTGAGGATTACTTTGTATCCTCTCTTATTTTGAGTTCTTGCAGAAGCGGACCATGAGACAATTCATGTACAAGTAGTTTATTTGGAGGTGACCTCTGGAGGTTGGTTGGTAAGACAGGAAAGGGAAGGACGTCAGTAAGAGCACACCATCAAGCAGCTTACCATTGTGGGCTCCTGGAGTTTAATTCCTCCAGAAAGCTCAGGGAACCGATGTACAAAACAGACCTCAAAGTCATTCTGCCCCAGGGGTGAGGAAGCGGAGATCGTCATTCCCACACACTATCAGTTATTTGTGGAGGGCTGCTGGGTGAGGTCAAGAGGTATCAATTCCCTTGAACCCCTGACCTTCCCGAAACAAGGGCAGAGCAGGCTCTGTGATGGGGAAAGAGCCACGAGGTAGGGTTGGAGGTGCGGTTGGAGGTGCGGGCAGCTGGAAGTCTAGGGAGTTGGCCAGCAAAAAGGGATATATGTCAGAGGCAGTATAGGAAACGCATGAGAACCACAGAGCTATATTTCTGGTGCGTTTTGAGAGGTTCCAGAGCTTTCTGGTTTTCAGACATAAAGTAGTCACACATGACAGGGAATCTTGCCTGGGTATGGCCAGTGACCATAACTATGGTCTAGCGACCCGACAGGGAAAGGATTTAACATCCTGTGGATTAGTTACACAATATCTAAATTAAACTATGATCCAGCTTTGCAAATTGAGGTTGGAAGTTACATTTCTTCATGGATATGTTTTTGTTTAGATGGTCACTGCTATTCTCACTCCAACAACTTTGAAAGGTTTATTGCACGTGCACTGGGGATTTGATGATGGTAGTTACATGAATCTTCAAGGAGACCATGGTGACCTTGGCCTCTTCTCAGACTTTAAGGAACACTTTAGTTTTCCCTTGTTTCTCTAGAAAGGCGGCACATCTAGTAAGCTAAGGGTCATAATGTCCAGAATTCAGCCTGGAACCTTCTCTTCTAGCTGCTGCGGTCCTATGAACCGTCCTGACTCATCAGCCTGCACCCCCTTTCCCAGTAGTACCCTCTTTCTTTGATTTTGCAAGGCAGTACTCATTCAGGGTAACAAAGTATCCCAGACAGAGAGGAAAGACAATGCTTTATAATTTCTACTTCTGAACATAGAAGGATGAGTTTGTTATACAAAACAAAACAACACTGAAGACCAATAGATTTTTGCATGAATGGCAAGATTGAATTTCTTCATTTATTTTTCCTTACAAATGATCCCATTTTCCTACTATTTCTTGCTGCTTTGTACCCTCCTGAGATTAACCTCAACCTAATGAGTAAAGCTCCTTTATGATTGTCTTTTTACTCCGGGACTCAGATGATCTGATTTGACCAATGTGTTTGTGTCAACATGAGAGCTGTTATGACAGGAAACACAATTTTAGTGAAATCACCATCATTATTGCTGGTGTCCTTTTTTGTTGGAAACACATGCGTCTCTTTGTCCTGACTGTCTCCTCTCTCTACAGGCTCAGCAGCGGCTTTCTCAATGTGCTAGAAGTCCTAAAACATGACGTGAAAATAGGGCTGGGTACAGGTCAGTAGTTTGCTATTTGGACATAGTCAAAGTGGTCGAGTAAGTGTATAACTTTATGATGTGACTAATTTTCAGGTAACAGTTTAAAAAATGAGTTTTCTTATCTGGGAGTACTATCTCGAGCTAATAAAATGGTGGGTTGGCAGCAGTAATAAAATGTATGCAACGGGAGAAGTTTTGATGATGCTAATATCCTGAAGGCCATTATCCTCACTTACTGTTCAGAGATTGGGTGATAAAGGGTAAGTCCTCCTAAGGTGCTGTAGAGGTTTATTGTTTTTTGGTTTTCTTGTTGTTGGTTTTTTTTTTTTTTTTTTAAACTCCTTGATTTTTCTTCCCCTTTTGTTTTGTCCTTCTGGCTAGGTGTTGATGGTTTGGATTTGTATGGCTTTAGTTTTTGATAACTGTGTCATCACAAATACTGTCTCAAAAGAAAATTAGTTGACCTTGCCATAGGGAGCAGAGATTCAGTCTATGCCAGCAGTGAGAACTTTGAGATATATTAAGAACTTGCTTTGCTTTTGAGCAGTGTTGACCAAAATGAGATTCCAGTTCCCACAGGCAGTCTGTTCTTTGCTGGGTTGAAGGACATTCTAGGTAGCTGATGAATTAGTGGTGTTTCCCGCCCCCCCCCCCAACAATACATTTTAATTGTTTTCCCTTAGTGTGTGAAGTGATGCTCACTTTGAAAGTATGAGACAGGCCCAAATGTCTAGGCATATTCCCTGTAAGCCTTTGATTACAGTGTGTGAATAAACTAAAAATTTTTTAAATGGGTGTGGGGCACAAGGATTTATTTTCCATTCCTGGTGCATTTGTCTTCCTGATACTTAAGAACATTAGGATGTTTGCATATTGACGATGATGGCTGTCATTTTCTGTCGTCATTTTCTGCAATAACTCACGTCTCAGTTACTTTTATACCAGCAATATTGGTAAGATATACAATAAAACAAAGTGAATTATTATTTTTAGAGAGGTGTGCTAGATTAGATGTTCTCCCCAGTTTTATATGAGTCAAAAGAATTATGATTTAAAAAAAGTTCTTACTTAAGGCTTCAATCATTGAGACTGTGGTAATCCTTGGATATAGTCACAGGTGTTAAGGTAGTTATTTTACCTTCACAGAAAAGATCTAATGAATAAGAAAAAACATGGCCAAGAATTTTTTACACACTAGTCCGTTAATGAAAAATTTTATAGACAGCCAAAAATCAGGTAGGTATTGCTTTCCAATTTTCTAGGATTTTGGTCTCCATGATTTAAGTTCATCACATAACTTCCAGTTCTTGACTTTGGGTTGGATAGTGATGGACAAAATATTTAGGTAAAGCTTTATCACTTATTAGCTGTAAGACTTTGAGCAAATTTCCTTAATTTTCTAAGACTTCATTTCCCTAATTTCTGTAACAATAACAACAGTTATAATTATGTCTATCTTATAAGCTTGTTTTGAGGCTTAAATGAGAAAAAAAAATGCATGCAAAATGGTTAGCACGTACTTGCACATTGCACTAGTCAATCAAGATTGGTTTAAAGGGAAAGAGCAATGTTGGTGTATTGACCAAAGGTTTGATCAAGTATGATATATTCACTTATGAATTGGGAGAATGCTGTTGCATTTTACATAGTCTCTGTTGCAATAGCCCCACTATGTTCCACTCTTTTTGAAACATGACCTTTATGTATCAACCTGCCCGTCCCTGTAGGCTTCAGAAGATCATTTAACCTCATACTATGGGCAGAGAGCAGGTCCAAAAGTGGTTTGTTCACCCTGTCTGTAACAAGTGGAGGCAGATCTGGACTTTCTCAACTATTACATAGGAGAAGCCCACATGAAGCTTAACAAAAATATCGCAAAACAAGAGAAAGTCATATCAAAAGAATGAGAGTTGCCTGGGTGGCTCAGTCAGTTAAGCGTCCGACTCTTGATTTCAGCTCAGGTCATGATCTCAGGGTCCTGAGATCGAGCCGCACATTGGGCTCCATGCTATGCATGGAGGCTGCTTAAGATTCTGTCTCTCCCTCTGCCCCCCTCCCCACTCATGCACATGTGTGCATTCTCTCTCTCAAAAAAAAAAAAAAAGGGAAGATGAGCTTATCTCTGAAAATGATCTACTTCAGGATCTAGAAGAAAATCTTAGAAAATTGCCATCATCCTTGGAGTACAAGAAGACATGGTACTATGAAAAAGACCACAAGTTGTGATGGAAAAAGAAATTTTTTAAATGAAAGAAGAAAACTGGGGGAAAAAAAGAGTGAGAAGCATGTAGACAATCCTACATGACTGGAGGGAGGGTAAATTTTATAACCACTTTGGAAAACTCTTTGGATATTTCTTATAAAGTTAAAGATTCATCTACATATGACCCAGTAATTCCATTTTGGGCTATTTACCCTAGAGAAATGAGCATATATGTTTGTAGAAAGAATTGTACACGAATGTTTATACCGGCTGTATTTATAATAGCCCCTAACTGGAAACAATTCAAAAACCTGCAGACAGGGGAATGAATAAGCAAACTGTGGCATATTCATAGAGTGGGAGTGCCACTCAGCATTCAAGAAAGTAGGAACCACTGATCTATGCGAAACAAAGGTAAATCTAAAAATATTTTGTTAAGTGAAAAAAGCCAGGCACAAAAGAGCACAGGCTGTATGTCTCCAGATGCATGAAACCTAGGGACCAGTAGAGCTAACAGTATTGATAGAAATCAGAAAGTGGTTGCCAAGGGTTGGGGATGGGGAAAGGGAGGGGAATTGACTGGAAAGGGCCAAGAGAGAGCTTGCTGGAGCGATGAGATGTTTAATATCTTGTCTTTCTGAAGGGTAGTTAAATGGCTATGTACAATTATTAGCATTCATCAAACTAGACACCTGAGTTCTATGCATTTTATGTTATCTTAATTATATTTCAGTTTAAAAATAACAAACCATTTTAGGAAGCTATGAGAAATAGAATTATTGCAGAAAATTATATCAGTGATGTGGAAAACAACATTGATCAAAGATCAAAGGGGGTATTTGAGAATGATCCACATGGAGCATAGAAAGAATAACACCAACACAGGAGGTTTTCCTGAACCAGAATCCAGAACAAATCAAACAGAAGTTGTGAAGGATAAATCTTTTCTGAGCTTAAGAAAGAACTGTGTATCATATTCAAAGAACTTACCCTGTTTTAGGCTAAATTGGCAAGATATTGGAATTACAAAGAAAAAGGAAAAAAGTCCTAAAACATTGAGCCTGGGAAAAAAGTCAGTTATCAGTAAAACAATTAAAAACCAGTTCGGTTTAGGGTGTTTTTGGTGGCATGAAAAATAGCAAGAACAAGAAAGACTTTGGAGCCAAATAGTTGTTACTGAAGAATATTATATTGGACGAGATTCTCCCTCATGTGTGAAGGCAACAAAATTCTCTGATGTACAAAGTTTTGGAAAATATTCTCCCCATGAACTCTTGGAAAAAATTACTTGAAAATCTACAGCATTCAATGAGTTATGAGACAAAACAATGGGCCAAGGCCTCGGGAAGGATGGGTCAACAGCATATCAGGGAAGGCTAGGTCAGTTAAAATAGAAAAAAGATTTAAAAAGTTGTAAAAGAGTTTAAAAAATGAAAGCAAAACTCAAAAATGTATCTTAAGAGAGCATATGCACAATGTTAAAAGTAATACCTTAAAAAAGTTATCGGGCTATGAACCTTAAACTGTTCTCAAAAAAATAGTCAATAGACAACAACAACACCAAAAAATATAAACACAGTTCATTCTAAAATCTCTCCCTGAAAAATTATCATAAAGAAGTAGCTTTTAATTCCCAAAGTCCTCATCTGGGTTAGAATAGAGCTAGGATGAGTTTTTAAGGGCATAGAACTGTGAGCTTGTTTTAAATCTCATGTTATCCAAATTATTATTATTATTATTTTTTAAAGATTTTATTTATTTATTTGAGAGAGAGAGAGAGAGAGAGAGAGAGAGAGAAACAGCATGAGTCAGAGGGAGAAGCAGGCTCTCTGCCGAGCCGGGAGCCCGATGCGAGACTCGATCCCGGGACTCCGGGATCATGACCTGAGCCGAAGGCAATCACTTAACCAACTGAGCCACCCAGGTGCCCCAAATTATCTTCATAACAATGCAGGCATATTTCTGTGAGAGTTCAGGGACTATCCAGAGATAAGAGTTTTCTTCTCTTAACTTTATTAACCATTTGGTTGCACTGGGTTGAATTGTGCGCACCCCTCCTCACCCCCCACCCCCAAAGATGTCTACTGAACAATGTAAATGTGACCTCATCTGGAATAAAGGTCTTTGCAGATCTTTACCTTTACATTAAGGTAACGATCTCAAGATGAAGTCATTCTGAATTAGGGTAGGCCCTAAATCCAATGATGAATGTCCTTACAAGACAGAAAATGAACGACATGTAAAGACAGAGAGAAGGCCCTTTGAAGGCAGGGGCGGATACTGGAGCTATATTGCGGTAAGCCAAGGAACCACGGGAACCTCCAGAAACTGAAAGCAGCAAGGAAAGATTCTTCCCTAGAACCTTTGTAGGGATCGTGACCTTGCCAACACTTTAAGACTTCTGCCCTCCCAAACTGTGAAAGAATTGATTTCTACTATTTTTAGCCACCACATCTGTGGTAATTTGTTGCAGCGACCCTAGGAAGTGAATAAATTTGAAAATCATTCGATACTAATTGCAGGTTTTGAATTCTTTCAACCGTTGGTCTTTGTCTATTCTGTGTCTAGATAAGATCTTTTCTTGGAAGTATATTACAGACTGACTCTTGGTCACCAAAAACCAAAAACCAACCGCATACACCTAATATTCCATTTATCAAATAAGGTTACTGTTGTGGCTTTATTTTATCTACCGTAGATGTGGCTGGTGGTTACTCAGCTTCCATGCTTGATGCAATCAGAAGAGCAGTGATGGTTTCCAACATCCTTTTAATTAATAAGATCAATGAGAAAAGCCTCACCCTCAAAGAGGTCTTCAGACTAGCTACTCTTGGAGGCAGCCAAGGTAATGACCATTTTATCTCCTTCTTGAACAGTGTACAACCACGCCAGTCTGTGTCCTTGGAAGCAGTATGAAGGCTCACGAGAGTGACATCAGCAGGCATCCCACATTCACACCCCAATGTTGCATCTCAAATACCATACCCCAAATTTAGTGGGTAATGTTCAGACATGTGGTAGAGGTGTCCTTTGTTCAGCAGAGGACATGTTCATTCTAAAATCTCTCCCTGAAAAATTATCATAAAGAAGTAGCTTTTTGGCAGAGGACATGTTCAACACACAATTATATTAATCACTTTGATGGATATTTGCAATGGTCACGTATATGTGAGTTCCTTAAAATAATCAAGTTTTTTTCCCCACGGAGTCGAGTAACACGTTCTCTATTGGCCTGAGGGATGATAGTAATGATATTCATAATAATAGTAAAAATAATAGCCAAGACTTAACTCTTACCAGGTAAGAGGCACCATGGGTCATGCTTTCTGTATCGTGACTTCATCCTCACAGCCACTGCTAGTAATTCCCCCTTACCCGCGAGGCACCTGAGAGAGGCATACACGTTGTCAAGCTCCGGAGTGCCAGATTTGAATCCAGAAAATCTGATGCCAGAGTGCAGGTCCCTACCCTTCCACTGTGATATCTTCCTCTGGAAATCCCAGTTTAAACTATGCATTTTGTTGCTATATTTAAGGATACTAATTACCCAAAGCTCTTTAAAAGGAAAAAGATGTAAAAGTGTAGTTGGTTGATACGTAAATACTGTTCATCAGCTTTTTCCAGTTCTCACCTGTAACCATAGTTTTAGGGAAAAAGTAGAAATTGGTAATTGTCTTGCTTTCAGTCACTTCCGTATTTTGGTGTAATCTGGATGGATGATGGTAAACACAGCATGAAACCTCAGGTAGCTAGTGAGAAATAAAAATATCAAAATAGAGACAGTATAGATATATATAGAGAGATTTATGATAGATACCTGGGGTCTTAGAAATGGAGGACGATAGCAGCTGAGAGTATCCTGGGAAGAGAAACCTTCTGGCTCTTTGAATGTTCTGGGCTATGATGAATGCCATAGAGAACATTTCAAGGAAAACAAGCAGAGGCCATGCTCTTTGCATTTTCCTAAGTCTTACAGTTTCATTTTTTAAAGTTCCAAGTTTTAAATCATCCAGTTTTTAAGTTCACCATCCCCACCCCTCTCTGTTTGTATTGTTGGCTGACATCTGATTTTCATGGTGCAAATGGATTGTACTTAAGTGCCTTTTTTATTCTAGGCTCTCTGTGAGGTGCTTCGTCAGGATCCTGTATGAGATCAAGCTGGCATGGGGTGCTTACCAAATCGTGTCTATCTTGCTGTGTAGCTTTTAAATCTATTTTCTGGGCCACTGAGCTTACTGTGATGGAATTTCTTCTCCTTAGCTCACGTCTCTGTGAGACTATGAGTGAAATGAGATGAATGGATGGCTGTTTAAATTGTGGCATCTCCCCAGCTTGTCAGAGCCTTTCCATTCACTCTCAAGATCAAGATGTGCATAAATCCCCTTCACAGGGACATCTGCTCCAAAGGCAGCAAAACTGCATTTCCTGAAATGCATCTGAATTGCTTACCAGCTCTACTGGGCCTTTCTGCAATAATCTGAATTTAGACCAATTTATAAATTCGTAAAAGCAATTGTGTCTTTTTTTGGTTAGCGCCTGCCTGACCTTCCAGGTTCAAACAATTAGCTCAGTTAGTTTATATGTACCATCAAAACTCTGGCAAATGAACCTGGTTATCTGACCTATTAAACACACAACAATTTTATGTTGAATACAGTCATTAAAAACTTATATTTTGTTATGCTTCTTTATCAAAGGCAAAAAGATTGTAATTGGCAAAGGAGGAGAGAAATGTCCAGTGATTTTCTTTTACATTCAGTCCTTCCCACACACTTAGTAGGAGTCACCTAACTGCCTTTAACATTTTCTAATTACTTTTGCACCCCTGTCTTCCTATAAGAATTCTTCAGCTAAAAAATCTTGTTCTTTTCCGAGAATAAAAGAGTTTCCCTTTAAACAATCTTTTAAGAACAAGTCAGTTGTTGTTCTTAAAAGTGCTTAGGGAACTGCCAAAAGGCTGCTGGATATCCATACAGAGAAATAGAACATACCAGATAGCATCTAACAGAGATACCTGATCCAGTACTTTCATATCGAACTATATCTTGATGGTGACAGAATTCAACCAACACGTGTAAAAATTCAAATAAATAATGCTGCACTCTAGTTGGCCTTCCTTTTATGCATGCTTCCTTTTGGTAGCTCAGTGTGCACTCAGATTATAGGCTTTAAGGAGCTTTAGATTTAAAACCTTTATTGACTAGGAAAGCCAACTACCGCCATCTTCTAAAACTAAATCATAAAAATGACAGATGTTCTTTCTTGACATCCAATATTCATGGAACATGAGTTCTCGCTATGAGATGGATCAAGTCAGTAGATAGTATCGACCTATGCCCATTTTAGAAAACATTCTTCTCTGACAACCAGAAAGTCTCTGAGGTTACCGAGCAATTGGTCTGCTTTCTAAAGCATTGGCACTCTTGAATTATGAGGACCTATTTACTTTCAGAAGTGAATTTTCTCCATTCAGAGGATTTAAACTAAGAAACTTCGGATGGTTAGGTCTGCATGGGCGCAGATGCAAAAGGATACTTATTTATTATTTATTTGAGGTTCATTTCACTGCCATGAAAACAGATCCTGTCAGCTGTTTCATAGAACAAAAAGGGCAACGAAAAGAGTTGGAGTGTTGGGGGAGAACAGGAGGGAAAAAGAAGACATTATGTCAATTGTCATGTTTCTTAGAGGGATGAATGGAAATCATAGGCCAGCTGGACTGTGAAGAGCGCAAATAGAGCTGAAATAGACACCATCTGAATTAGAGATCGTGGTGATGAGGGGACCTGTTTTTATTCTCAGATTTTGCTTTCCATGTGCTTATTCTGCTTTCTGTGTGTCAGTGTTTTAGGATCTCTTAGAATGAGAGAGCTTCTCTGCTTCATGTTAAGATACATTTTTTTTCCTAGTAATATGTTGGCAGAATCTGTCCTTGCAAACGGGGACATTTTCACCATCTGATGGCTCTAAGTACTGACTGTTTACTAATTTATTCCACCCTGTAGCCCTGGGGCTGGATAAAGAGATTGGAAACTTTGAAGTGGGCAAGGAATTCGATGCCCTCCTGATCAACCCCAAAGCATCTGACTCTCCCATTGACTTGTTTTCTGGGGATTTGGTTGGTGATACGTCTGAAGTAAGTAAAACAAATTTCATCAAAAGGCATCTTTTTCATGAAGTAGTCACCATAGGAAAAAAAATAGAAATGGAAACATTTTAAGGGAAGACAGGGTTTTCTTAAAAGGGAAAGTAGATCCTTTTCAAATTATTATAATTTGTCAACATAATGTTAAGAATAATGGTACTGACAAAAACTTGTATTTTGAATATATTTGTATATTTGAATGTATTTGACTACAAGAAGCCCATTTCTTTTTCATTAATGGAAGTAGATTTTGCCTCTGAGAAATAAATTTATATGTCTGTGCTTTGCCAACCCCTACTGGCTGTGAATTTACTCTCCTAAATGCACAGAATATTTTTTCTTATTATTACTTTATTTTGCATTTTAGGCTGTCATCCAGAAGTTCCTCTACCTAGGTAGGTGGATATATGTCTCTGTGCTAAATAAAATATTTCCTTGTCTCTTGCTCGGGTACGGCTCCCTGTATGTGTGGCCCCATAGGTTAAACTCTATGTGTGACCATTTCATTTGATGTATTATTTTAACATTCCTCAGCATCAAGCCCATTTAAGGGCACTATTGGAAATGCCCAGGCTCCTCTGGAAGATAAATCCAAAGCTGAGGAATGGCAGATGCAGGGGAAGAGGCCATCTGTGTCCCTTCCTCCCCCATTCACTCTGTACACCCACCCCAGTCCGCCCTACCACGTTGCATTTGTGATAAGTTTGTGGTGGAGTCTCACCACCTGTGTTTGGTGTGTGTGTGTGTTTAACGTGTACTCACATTTAATTCCATCCACTGAGAGAGAGAAATAAATAGTACAGAAGATTCTACTTTGCCTCCCGCTTGATCCGGGGAGCTCTGAGTCCGGGGTGAACTGGAGAGAGATGCTGGTGCCATTTCTAGAGCTCCTTTCCTGCCGGCCCTCCATCTCACCATGCTGAGTATGATTCTGGGGTGTAAAGATAAGTATTTCCTTTACTCTCGGGGCCGGAAATGCAAACCTCTCCAGCTGAAAGTGCTGCCCACGGAAAGTCAACTCAACTTTCCGTGATTTCCGCCTTCAGTGCAGAATTCAGACCCTAATCCTCCAATTTGATATAGCACCTTCTCTTGGTCATGTCCACTTGTCCAGATTATGAACAGTCTGAGAGAAAAAAAGGCAGCTTCTTGTATTTTCCTTCTTAGGAGTGGTATTTGTTTTTAAATCCCTCCTCGTGGCAATTAAACTAAATACTGACATAGGGGCGCCTGGGTGGCTCAGTCAGTCAGGTGTGGGACTCTTGGTTCCAGCTCAGGTCATGATCTCCTGTCCGGTCGGTCATGGGATCAAGCCCCGGGTCGGGCTCCACACTTAGTGGGGCGTCTGCTTCCCCCTCTGCCCCAACCCCCACTCACACTCACTCTCTCTCTCAAATAAATAAATCTTAAAAAAAAAATACCTATTGACATAAAAACACTTTATGAATGATTCCTTCATTTTTCTTTCAGGAGATGACCGAAATATTGAGGAGGTTTATGTGGGTGGAAAGCAGGTGGTCCCCTTTTCAAGCTCAGTGTAAGACCTTCGGCCTCTACGAGTTCTCCTGGGATCGCGTGGTTCTGCGTCTCCCTTGTGCCCAGGCCAAGTTAGAAAGTCCTAAAATAGTATCTTGTTCTTGGGATGACTATCTCTTTCTGTGTCTAGTTACAGTATTCACTTGACAAATCGTTTGAAGGAAGTCACGCTAATTCCCAACTCTCTGGTTGGGAGGATTCAAAATTTCTCCCTTTTGAGCTGTTTGGATTTACTTTAAGCTCAAACATAAGGGAATGTTATTCCTGGTGGTGTTCTTATTATGAGATTTAAGTCAAATCGATTTCATACTTGGAAATGTGGAGAGAAAAGATATTCTTGTACAGCTAGATATTTTGAGCTAATAAATGTGAAAATCAGAGAATGGAAGATGAACCAGTGAATATATTTTTATGAGGGAGAAAAAGTTAGACTATGAACACACACTGGAAAATCACTTCAGATTATCTTTGAAAATTATGTACTGAGCATATTAATTTCAGAAGAGAACTTCTTGAATTTCCAAATGTCTTTCTAGATTGACCTTGTGTTCTGGAAATTTGCACTTAATGGAATTTGCATTTCAGAGACGTGCTGTTGTGCTTTGCTTTCTTTGGGGATGAAATGTCAGAAATTGAATGCCACATGCTTTCTTAATATAGTTCTGTGCTTCAGAGTGTTTGACAGAGGTTGAATGTTAAAGATTTAAAGTCTCTTAGGAATATTATTCACATAACTACGTGGCACAAATCGTGGTATTTTTGTGTATTTCAGAATCACCTTAATGTATAACTGTGTGATTTATTATTGCTTCCGTGTTATTAGAAAAGAAACAAGTTCCATACTCCACTGTTGTGTAGACTGGAGTCTTCATAAACTGGGGCACGTGCTGGGCAGCCAGGAGCTATCGATACTAAAAGGAAGGATTTCACAGCAATGCTGTGGTCTCCCCAAGAGGTATGCTGTGGTTGCTGAAAATTTCATCCTCAGATCTCAATCTGGTAGAACTTTAAAATGAAAGACAGACTCAGCAAGAACAAAAACCAAAACCATTATTAAAAATCTTTAAACCCTGCTTACTGAAAGCACTCCATTTTTCAAGTTTATCCTATTGTCTTTTTAATTCCTAATAATTTTCAGGACATTAGAATTTTGGGATAATGAAAACTATGTACATGTCCCATTTAATGTTTATATTAATAGGACTTAATCTGCACTAGACATCTAGGAACATTACACAAAGGGTATTTTTATGCTTCCTAGTACAGTGTGCTTTCCCATAACCTACAATTAGAAGCAAATTGATTTTTTGATAAACTCTGAAGAAGTATTAATGTGAATGTTATTTAAATACTACAGTTTTCTCATTTAATTTCAAATACTATAAACCAACGTGGAAAAGGAATAGATTTTCTTAATATGTCGTAACACTCACACCTAGGGCTTAAGTGTGACTCCTTATAATTTACCTTAGAGTAGAGAGCTTTCTGTAATATAATATAGCTAACTCCGTATTTACAGAACTAAGAACAAAATTCCCCCTCTTGTACTATAACTTTATCCTCAATTAGTTATGCTAAATCAGCACTCATTTGCCCACATTTTGTTTTCTGTTTTTCCTGGTGGAAACACTTTTAGATTTGATTGTATGCACACAACACCTAATGACAGAACACAACTTTGGTCCTATTTCCATTTTTTAAAAGAATTTTTCTTATTTGAATATAGTTGACACACAATTTGATCTTATTTAGAACACACAAACTGTTTGTGTTGTGGGGTATTAAGCAACTCAGTAAATTCAGCTTCCAAGGGCCAAAGGAACATGGTTACCTGGCGTCTAACCCACAGGAGTGGGCTTAAGAATTTGGATAAGATGTGAGATCCTCCCACAGGCAGTGGCAGTATTCCCGGCCTTTGCAAGATCCTACATTTGTCCCTTCCTGAAGGATGTACGTGTTGATGTTGAGCATCAGTTTTCAAGATTCACATGCAGTGTGTAGAAACAGGCATGGCCTCAGCAGCAAGAAGAGTGGCCATCTACAACCAGTCTGTCAGACATTACATTTAGCCCCGGGAGTGTGTTAAGACCTGACTATCTTTTCTAGTAAAAATAGAATGTGTTGAAATGTTTATGTGTAGTTCGCTCTCCCTGTGTCTCTTAGAACTTACGTGTTTTCGTGACTCCAGGTGCAGCGGTCCCGAATGTTGGTAGGCTTTGTGCAATGTTGCAGGCATTGACCGGACGCGTGGTCCGATGCTCTGCACTTTGAAGTGTTGGCTTGGCCCAACGTGGCTTGACTTCCTGAACTGTGGAGAGGCGGTATTTCAAGCCAACCCTATTTGTCACTTTATGTTCGAATATTTTGCTCTCTGACAGGAAAGAAAGAGTGAAGGCTTCTTATCCGCCCCCTCACCTCGCCCTGCACTGTTTGCCTCGGGTTTCATGTTATTTTTTAATGGAATACACTTTAACAGGTAAAAACTGAGTTAATAGTGCTGACAGTCCTCTGTTTAAAAGGTATTTTCTACAACAGAACACAAAAGCAGGCTAATCGGCTTAAGTGAATTTAATATCCAAAAGGGAATGGAACATGGGGTTAGGACCTGAGAGGTTGTCATGGTAATCGTAACCTGAGACCGAGACTGCGCCCTTCATCGGCTCCTTCTCTGATTTCACTATTGAAGGTTCCAGAATCCAAGAGAATATCTTGGACCTAGCTCCCTTCCTGCCGGGAGGAGGTCTTTCTAAGTTACCATTGTGAGCACTGAACCCCACTGAACCTCTTTGTCACTTCCCTGAGAATTCTGCACGGCAAGGGCAGGAAAGGGGTTGGAAACATTCCCATTACGCTTAGCTGCTTTTGAACTGTGCCCTTGAGTATCCCTGTTGGCAGCTACAGCTGAGATGTCACAGAGGCAACGTATTTTGAATCTTCACTCCCCTCCAGACTCTTCCTATTTTTAATCTTTCCACCTCAGAACTAGACATATGGAAAGCTTTCAAGGCAAGCTGGAAGGCACGTTGTATCCATTCTACCTTGTGCGTACACGGAAGATATCCAGAACTGGATGCTTCTGTAGCCTAGTGGACATCTTTCCATTGTCCATTTTTTAAAGCTGATACCACCACTGGACGCATTCACATGTCTAAAAGGAGCATTCTGAGTTTTTAAAAAGTAGATTAAGAAATGTGTCACGGCAATGTCTTGAGATAATTTTCAAATTACGTGGATTGTTATAAATTTTTAAGTTTTCTTTCTTTTTTAAGACTTAGAAGAGATATCTGCAACTTCAGATCTACCTAGCCCCTTTAGGTATGATTTTGGACCCTGACCCTTTTTAGTGTCTCTAAAGGAAAAGTGTAGAAAGAAGTGCACAGATGAACAGACACTACTGGAAAGCCCTAACATTGGACCCCATGCATGTTTTCCCGCCCAGCCTCTCCCTTTCCCGCCCACAGCGCCGAAGGTGAGAGGTCGAGAGCTGAGGGGTTAGTCTGTAAATCTGGTCCAAATTTACGGAAATGCAAAACTTGAACAGGCCAGTGATGGAACTCAGTGTAAATTCCAAGATGGCTTTCAGCATCCAGGGGGTGCTTGAGGAACAGATGTCACGGGGCATTGACTTACCTGTTTATTTCCTGTTCAAAAGCCTGTCAGAAAGCATTCTGTGTCAAAAACCACCTTACATTGTATGTTAAACTCCTGATTGCTGCTCTTAAGGCTATATATGTGTGTATTCCTGGGGACATTTTTATTCAATATTTGTATGATTTGCTTCCTGTTCATGTGCTGAGTGAGCTCCTTTGTGCTTCAGACAAAAATAAATGAGATTTTGTGTTTACATTCTTTTTGTTGTTGTGAGTTCTATCATTCTGACAGAAGGGAGATTAATCTTATAATGCCTTTCTCCTTTTAACATGAATTTTAAAAAAATAGAGTATTTAGCCGTGGGCCAACATGTACCTTCCATTTTATGATAGACAATATACATAGCTTTAAAAAATTAAGCTCTCACGCCAGCCCTTTAGAATCAGATTGTTATTGCTTTTGATTTCAGCATGAATTTCATATTTTCTAAAGTCACAACCCAGAGTAAGAGATGCACTTTAACATCAAGAATTAGTTCACACAGGACACCTGCGTAGCTCAGTCAGCTAAGCGTCTGCCTTTGGCTCAGGTCATGATCTCAGGGTCCTGGGATCGAGTCCTCACATTGGGCTCCCTGCTGGGCGGGGAGTCTGCTTCTCCTTCTGCCCCTCCCCCGCTCACGTTCTTTCTTAAGTGTGCGTGCGCACGCTGTCTCTCAAATAAATAAAATCTTAAAAAAAAAAGTAGTAGAAGATTTGGTCTATAAATTCACCCTCAATGTTCTGAGCAACCCACTATGCATCTTTTTTCCCTCCTGAAGAACAGCTTAGTCAAAATACCCAGAAGAGAATTCTCAGATGTGTAATCTAGAAAAAATGTGTGCCTAATTTGTAACTGTGGGCACAGAGTTCTGTAATAGTTAATTAACAGGCATGTCCAAATTATTGCATTGTACTAAATTAGTCATTTAAATAAAATAAGGTTTAGATACAAATATACTTGCTGGTAGCAAAATAGGACCTGTAGTATGCTGTTTTAGACTGCATGCAGAGGCCACTCAGTTAAAGGAACAGAACCCATAAGTATTGTCACCAATAGGAGCAGGTTTTGGGTTTGGGTTTTTTTTTTTAAATTTTTAAAGATTCTATTTATTTATTTGACAGAGAGAGACACAGTGAGAGCAGGAACACAAGCAGAGGGAGTGGGAGAGAGAGAGAGAAGTGGGCTTCCCGCCGAGCAGGGAGCCCTATGCAGGGCTCGACCTCAGGACCTGAGCTGAAGGCAGACGCTTAACGACTGAGCCACCCAGGCGCCCCGGGTTTTTTTATTAAGCCTGTTTTAAAATGGGATAAGAGAAAAAAAATTAAATGGGTTAAGGGAAGTATTCTCTGTTCTTTAAAGTGATAGAACATTCTTTTAGAGTGTAATTAAACTTTTTTCACGAATTTGGACCATCCCCTTTTACCATCAAGCCTGCCTCCACCATCATTGTAAAATTACATTAGATTTGTCATACTTCTTGGGTTTTCCATGCTTCTATATTGTTTGAATCTATATTTCGGGATGGGAAGAGAGGTCGCTAAAAAAATATGGGAAAAACTTCAGTGGGAAATCTTTCCATGGTAACTCAGGAAAAAAAACCATTTTTACCTAAACATAAGAAGTGATAAAGAAAATATGAACAGTAAACATGGAGTTTTGCAGGCCCCTTGAGCCCTCCTTGATTGCCTGGACTCTGCCCACTCTGACCGGGAAGTAAGCAAACATTCGTTCCCCATCTGTAGAAAGAGAGCTCAAAGTCATAGTAGAAAAATCCTGGGTGCCTGGGTGGCTCAGTTGGTTAAGCGACTGCTTTCGGCTCAGGTCATGATCCTGGAGTCCTGGGATCGAGTCCCGCATCGGGCTCCCTGCTCGGCAGGGAGTCTGCTTCTCCCTCTGACCCTCCTCCCTCTCATGCTCTCTGTCTCTCATTCTCTCTGTCTCAAATAAATAAATAAAATCTTAAAAAAAAAAAAACCCAACATACTAGAAATAAAGTCCTTGGAAAGATTATCATTCATTCTGATGACAAATATTCGCTTGAAACTGAAACTTGTAGCTTCACTGTGAAATTAATTTCTGTCCTAATCTTGGACTGTCTCCAAATCAGATTTTGTTTTACTTACGTCCAACAAAGCCACAGCGCATAAGTGAATAATCCGAGGACGAGTTTTACTCTTGTTTTTTAATTGCTAAATTTGCTTCCTAGAGCATTTGAGAGACTTTAAGCAGCTTTGGTGGGGGGTTTTGTTTTTCGTTTTTCCTGCAAAAGTTGATTCCATTGCCACCTGAGCTTGAGAACAAATCCAAGGATGGCTTTGTGCTTGGAAAGCACACTGAAGCATTTAACCAAATCCACTTGAAATCCACTGAAGCATGTAAACCAAATCGATAGATAAGGAAATGATGGGGCGCCTGGTTGGCTCAGTTGGTTGGGCAACTGCCTTCGGCTCAGGTCATGATCCTGGAGTCCCAGGATCGAGTCCAACATCAGGCTCCCTGCTCAGCAGGGAATCGGCTTCTTCCTCTGACCCTCCCCACCATGTTCTCTCTCTCTCTCTCATTCTCTCTCAAATAAATAGATAAAATCTTAAAAAAAAAAGGAAATAAGAGAATTTTGCTATTTCAAAGGAGAATTTCAGAGGCTCAGAAAAAGCAGTGCACACACTTTCAAAATTCATGCACATTTTTCTCCTGGCAGAGCTGTGAAAGATGAATCAGGCTTGGCCAATTACGTATTCTGGATTAATTTATGTAAGTACCACCAACCCTTCAGCATCATGAACATGTCTTGGATGTCTGCATCCAAGTAAAACCACACGGCGATGACTCAGGCATATGGGTGTGAAAGAGAAGCTGTGGGGTTTCGGGTGTTTGTGTTTGTTGTTGTGTTCAGCTCAGGGACAGATTTTTTTTTGACGTCCAGGACAGCTGTGCCCTCTCTTGCAAGTGGGTTCTTTATTATCACCTATAGGGGGAGAAAACCCATTATGTATAACTTGTACAAAATCCTCATGTTCCTTGTAAAATTACTGCCCAGATAAAATGAGAAAGAAGTCAACATAAATGCGCAAAAAGTCTTCATTAAAGATTGTTTGTGGTACTGTAGACCATTTCACGTGACATGATGGCTTCTAACAGAAATTGCAGTTAATCAGTCAAATTGCCCTGAAATGTACATAGCTGTTCTCTTATGCCTTTCATGTGTTGGTAAAATTGAATACTGAAGATTAATGAATTGCTTCTTTTAAAAAAGATAGAAATCCGTATCTGCAGGAAGCATAAATAATAGCCTATTAAGTAATGTTTAATTTGCTGATTATGAAGTTGTTACATTTTAGACCATGTTCATTCAAGTGATATTTTAGTAAAGGCACACCAGATACCAGGCACATGGCCCAGTTCTGAGGGTTAAAAACAACATTCATCTCTTTGAGGAACTCAACCTGGGATGGTAGGTGAGAGAAATATGTAGAGAAGTCAATATATTAAGGCCATGAC